TTTTTTTTTTTTTTTTTTTTTTTTTTTTTTTTTGTTTTTTTCTATGTTTTGCAAGTGTACAAATATTCAACAACTTCACAGATAAAATTGCGAACTTCAAGATACAGCAGTGTCTTATATAAGCTGGTCTGCAAGTGTACAAAGTTAAATGCAAGAGACACGCGTGTAGATATTACTGCCAGGTGGATGTGACGTCATTAGTTAATTAAAATCTACTATATTTTCCCTATCTAACACTCATTCATAATCAAATCTAGAAAATATAATCACTTTTAATCAATTTTAATTGGTCCAGTACCATTTTAGTCCAACCAAACACCAATAATAGTTCAAAATTGACTATAACTGTCACAAAATAATAGCACAGCGGGCCGGACCATGTCAATTCCCCCATATTTAGCACAAAAGATAAAATTTGCATTAAATATAGGATAATATTATTACACACATACATACATTAATGCATACGTGTGTTAGAAAATATAATGTTGCAAACCTTTTTAGTAGTTGGGGTGGGTTCTGAAAGTGGAGTGAGTATGGCTCGGACATGGTTTGCTTTCTTGAACCCAATTGGCTTAGCACTCGAACCACCGGTGGCTTGAGGGTGAGCCCTTAGAAAATAAATTTGATCTGCATATTTTTCCTTCACTAATAACACTCTTGTGCACCACTTATATGCAGTGGACCTTATGAAAACGTCTTTGCCTATTGATGACATCCTCACAATTCTTTGCTGTATATGTGATCAACAATTAATTTCAATAACTAATTTCCTTGTAAAATACACAAATACAACCAATCAAAATCAGAGATTTTCAATTTAGAAAAAAATGAAAAAGAAAAAATATAATTCTCATTGTTAAATAAAAGAAATGAAGATGGGGAATCGTGTGATCGTAGAGTAGCATGACAATCATTCACGCACTGATGTGTGTTTTCTTTTTTTCTTTTTTTTTTTATTAATTATCAGTGAAGAAACTTAATTTACACCACAGCACTACATTTGATCACTCTATATGAAATTAATTTAACTCATACAAAGTAAAATGAAATGAACTTGGATGAGGCAATGAATCACCTTATAGTGTTGATGAAATTAATGGCAAACTGTGGTGGCATGTGTTAAGAGCTTGTGATTAATTTGTTGGAGATGAATGCTCAGAGTTCATTTGAAGCTCCCCAAAAAGATTGGAGAAAGTAAAATTAGAGTTCGATACGATATGGTGCAAAAAATGAGTGGACCTCAACCTCTACTAACAACTAATGGCGCTAAGTTGCTTTCCTGTAAAATACAACAAGAAATTTGACTTTCAAATCGAGACCAGGAAATTGTATTCTATTATTTATATTTATTAAATTGGGAATGGGATTATTTGCGGTTTTCCTCGTGCCGTTAGAGCATCTCCAATGACAAGCATCAATTTTAGTGTATGTAAGCAATTAAATGGATGGTCTTCCATCTACGTGTAAGGAATAGATGTTGAAACACATAAAATGTCTCCAATGGTTTATTTATTCAACTTAAAAAATATGGATCATCATGTCTAACATGACTTCTACATGTAGAAGGAGTTCTAGATTTTTTTCCTTCTCTCTCTTGCCATGTCATTATGAATAGAATCTAGACATTCACGGTTGGAGACATTTTTTATTGAACTTCTTCCACATTTTTACAATTAACAAGCCATTGGAGATGCTCTTAAACCACTGTAGGCTCCAATTGTCTCCCATGGCACGCCTTTCAAGACAGATCTACAAAGGAGAGAGATTTGGATATATCGCGCTATTATATATGAACGACTTAGAGGCATAAGTAATGTTCTATTACAAAATTCTCCATAATTTTGTCTGTTTTTTTGGTTCTCTTTTTTCGGTTTTTTTATGAAGTTATCGGATGGCTCGACTTATGGAACAATCCATAGTTATCCACAAATGGTGTATTGACACGTGTCCTGCAATAAATACGCATTGGGCACGTGTCAATACATAAAGTTATAGATGGCTACATAAGGGAAGCAAACCTTTATTATGTGTTGTAAATTTGTTTCAAAACCATTTGTCAATCCTTGCTGACGTGTCCAATCAGAAATCTTATGTGACACTAATAGGGTTTGTGTGACATTCAACCTTTTAAAATCAAACAAGTAGATTTCATTAAAATCAAACGTTTACAAGACACTTATATCAAAAAATACACAAATAAAAATAACATAATATTAAATTAAAAGATTACAACACACATAAATCACAAAAATACACAAATAAAATAATATAATTAAATATGACCTAACATCTATAGAACACACGTATAATAAAAATCTCACTGTCGTGATCCCTCTTCATTGCTGAACTCATTATCAACTCTTTAAATTTTTTAATTTTCTATTTTATTATTTTTATAACTGCAGATACGTCTTCTCCTTGTTTTCTCTTAAATTTTGATTTCTTAATACCTAATGGCCATTATGATGATGAACCACCACTAGCATTTTCATCGCTTAAATTAATTAAATAATTCTGGATTAGGTAAAATGGAAGACTCGAGTTGTGCATCTGATTGTGGTTGAGATGAAAACGTGTTTTCGCCTGGTTGATGTGCACTCGAACAATACAAAATTCTTCATCATCAACCACTTATGATCGTACTTGAATGATCGATCACTTTTATTTTTTGGGTTTTGCATATAAATATGTTTGCACGCTCCATCTACAATATGAAAATAAATAGCATTAGAAAATATTAATATTTATATAAATATAATAAAATAATGCGGGTAAAATTTCTTGCCACATCATGTTCAGAAACTCCAGTGATGTTTGTATTTTCAATTTGTTCCACACAAGATTTGAAAAGTTTAATAGAAGTATTGATATTTCCCATGCAACATTGGATCTATCTTTGTGGACGATTAAACCACATTGGATTGGGTTTTGGAGAATTATACTTGTTCGTTACACGGAGCCAAAATTGATCTCTACTTTGATATATGTCCACCTCTGTATCTTGAGAAATTGTCATATAAGATCGACAGAGGTGTTGACCTTCACTCACAGTATAGTTGGATCACATAGGAGAAATTACTACAAGAAAATGGATGTACGTAAATTGAAAAGTTTAAAAAATGTATTTTGGTGGTACAATATTTTCCATTACCGTGTAGCTTATTTATAGTATATTTGATTTGCATTAATAAGAATCATACAATTGATATTCGTGATAGGAAATCTGATTTTACGGCTCAAATTGAAAGTTGTGGATTTCCTTATCTACATTATCAGCAATACAATCAAAAATCAAGATTTTAAGACTCAGCTTGAAAGTTGTGGACTTCCTTATCCACAATATCAATCGTACAATGAAAATCATAATTTTACGGCTCAAATAATAAGTAGTGGATTTCCTTATCTACATTATCACCTGTACGATCAAAAATCAAGATTTTATGCCTCAGACTAAAAGTCATGTATTACAATATCAATCGGACGATCGGAAATCAAGATTTTTACGGCTCAGATGAAAAGTTGTGGATTTCCTTATCTACAATATCAACAGTATGATTCTTATCTATGAAAATCAAGATTTAACGGCTCAGATTCAAAGTTGTAGATTTCTTTATTACTATTTAGTATTTATACAAATATTTTTCACACTATATTTTTATTCGTCAACTCTTGCAATTTCTAAAATAAATATGAATCCCAATCACATGGGTACAATATTTTTATACAAGAATTTCTCATAACTCAACAAGTTGGTTAAAGTCTTGGAGGTTCAGTTCTTGGTCGAAAAACAATATTTCGTGATCGAGAAGCAGCTGCAAATCGTCTTTTTAACGAGTATTTTTTTAAAAACCCAAAATATAACAAAGCCATGTTTCGGAGACGTCTTTAAATGTCTAAAAATATATTTTGTTGTATAGCAAATGCAATTAAAAATCATGATTATTATTATTTTTTTTATTTTTTTATTTTTTGCAGCAAAGAGATGCAGTTGGTAGACTCGGATTGTCTACCTATCAAAAGTTAATTGTTATGCTTGGGATAATAGCAAGTGTTGTACCAGCAGATGCGACAGATGAATACATAAATATTGGGGAGTCCACCGCAATTGAATGAGTGAAGAAATTTCGCCGTGCTATTGTAGAGATATTCGGAGAGCAATATCTACCTTCTCCCAACGCCAATGACATTGCAAGACTCCTTTATCGGTAAGCAAAGCGGCTTTCCAAGAATGTTAGGTAGTCTAGATTGTATGCATTGGCGTTGGAAAAATTGTCCAACGGCTTGTGCAGGTGCGTAAAGAGGACGTAGTAAATCTCCAACTATTATTCTAGAAATTGTAGTCGATTATGATATTTAGATATGACATGCACACTTTGGTATGTCTTGATCCAACAATGATATTAATATGTTAGAGAGGTCCCTTTTATTTTTTGAGCTTACTTGAGGAATTGCCCCTCCAACACATTATGGCTATGTTTGATAAAACTAGCTGATAGCTGATAAGCTAGCTTATAACTTATTAGTAATTTTTTAGCTTATAGCTTATAGCTTATGACTTATAGCTGAAAAGCTAGCTTATATGATAAAAGTGTTTGGTAAAATTAGTTGATAAGCTAGCTGAAATAAAAAATTCAACTAGCTTATTTGAAAAGCTACTTAAAGAAGCTTATCAAATAAGCTCGAGCTTTTTAAAAAAGCTCGTCCTACCAAACGAAACTTATTTGAATACAGAGAGCTTATAAGCTAACCAAATAAGCTATAAGCTAGCTTATTGGTCTAGCAAACATAGCCTAGGTCATCCAAGGAAAAGAGTATAACATGAGGTATTATTTAGCAGATAATATGTATCCCAAATGGTCAACTCTTGTCCAAATTATTCGTGACCCACGTGGTAAAAACAAAAAACAAAAAAACAAAAAAAATATTTTGCAATGAAATAAGAAACATGTAGAAAGGATGTTGAGCGTCCATTTGGAGTACTCCAACGTCGATTTGCAATTGCGACTAATCTTACCCTATTGTAATTAAAAGATGACTTACAAGATATAATGGTTGCATGTATTATTTTGTATAATATGATAATTGAGGATGAACGAGACCTTGATGCATCGATCGAAGCTACGATGGAGACCCCAATCCTATGTTCCAACGGTAGGTAATAAAGCTTCTCAGTTTCAAGCATTTGTTGCTCGATACAGGCAAATTCGAATAAAGACGCTCATGTGACCCTTCGTAATGCATTGATTGATCATTTGTGGGAGGAATTTTCTACTTCAGAAAATTAAATGTAATGTTATTGTATTTGTTATTTGTAATGATTTTTAATTTTTCACTGTACTAGTTAATTTGTATTCCTATTGTTTGAATTTATGAAGTAGTCTCGTGTGTTTATACATAAACATATTTTTATTATTTAGGTAATAAACATTTATATAAGATTAAATATACATATATATACCACTTTATTTGAAATATTGGAAGTAGAACTTGAATTTTGGCTTACCCAACACTAGAGTAGAGTAAATTGTACTCTAGTATAGTATATGGCAGAGGGTTGGAGATAGTTTTAGGCATACAAACTGAAAACCTACCAAGTAAATGGATGACATGAAAGGGTATATTTTCAATTCTCCCAAGATGAAGAACATTTGGAGTTTATGTTGTTGTCCATCCTTCAATTATTGAGCTACTGAAATAACCATTTTAGGTTGAAATAACACTTGTAATACAAATATGCTTCCCTCATTTCGATCTCGAGCACAATGGCTTCACAATTACCTCCTCTACATTAAAATTCAAGACCAGAATTTTAAAACAATAATTAAATTCGTAAATCAAACCTGGAAAGTAATAACTACACAATATATTTCATATTTAATCAAACCAGAACATGGAACAATATATTTTAATTTTGAAAAAGGAATTTAGCAAAATGTATTTCATATCATGGTTGTAGACTGAATTCAAACCATGTCATATTCAACAAGACAAGCACGTAGGATCTATGCAGCCTATTGCCTACCTTTGCCTAGTACGATCAACCAACGGGTTATACATACCATATGTGCAAGCGCTGCAACTTATCAGAAGAAAATTGCTTCTTAGCCAGCTAAAAGAGGATTTTCACAACGAAACAGACAAACGCAATTTGTGTATAATCACAAGCACGACGCCACACAAATTATTCAATATATAAAAGACATAGGAATCACACCATATACAAACTCCACCTGATCCCATTCTTTTTTTCTTTTATGTTCTTTTTTCACTCATTTGCACTCACAACATGGAAGCTCGACTGTCTGATATTTTTTTCTGAAAAAAAAAAGAAGAAAAAAACACTTCCACATACTTTATCAACCATATTTATTGTTAATATAGNAGAAAAAAAAAAAAAAAAAAACTCATTCATCTTTTTTAATCAAGAAATAACTTTTTAAGGGCGAGCATAACGTACGCACACGCGTCTCTGGATCGGGCTTCTACAGGACGGGCAATCTTTCATCCCCTGCTTTTCATGCAGCTCGTTGCACATGGTACAAACCACTTGATGCGCGCACGGCAGGAAAACAACCGACATCTCTTCCGAAAGACACATCACACACTCTCTTTCCCTTTTCACGCCTCCATTAGCCGTAAGGTCCTTGAGGATTGTGGTGTGAGAGACAGTTGTCAAGCCCTTGTGCAGTGGCATATTTTTCAAGCTGGTGAGCTTGCTGGCATAGCTGGCATCTATGCCCCTCCTAAGGGCGGCTATTTTGGACGAGTCGGTTTTGAGCCTGAGCTTAGAGATTTCGCGTTCGAGCCCCTCGATGTCGTCCTTGTACTTCTGCAGATTAGTTTGGGCTCTGGATTTGACGGTGTCTTCCTTGGATTGAGTGGAGACCTCGATTTGTTCTCTTTCTTTTTTGAAGGAGGAGGCCTGAGTGAGAAGCTCGTCTTTGGCCTTCTGTTCCTCGTGAAGTTTGGCCTGTGATCCGCGTTATTGTTTCAATGTCAAAGCACCAGTCGATCAAAAAGGAGTATTAACAAGAATTATAAAAAAGAAATTACATAAATTAAATGGCAGAACAAAGACCTCATTTATTTCCTTAAAAATAATGATTTGCGTCCTCAAGTTTATACTTCCACACATCGAAGAACAACCACTTCAAACAAAAATGTAGGCTAGATTGAGGACAATCTAGCCTACGTACTATGATGGATTGATTATATTGTCTAGTCTCGTCTTTATGACATGTAATATTGGGAACTAGAGATGTAAGAAGTACTAAGCTATTCCCAAATGACACACCGCTTGCTTGCTGCTGGCCCGGCTTTTAAAGAAAAGCAGCTTGTCCAACTTATTGCCAAAACAAGATTTCAGTGCTTCAATTGGATGGCAAATATGTATGCACAAATTTCAGTTGGATGGCAAATTGGAAGTCTAGTATGCAAAAGCAATATGTTTTTAGGTCCTCAATTTTTTTCTTAATCAAATCAAAACCAGAGATCTGATATTTAAATGAACATACTAACAGACACATTGGAGAAATTACATGCAGTTTCACTCAATCTGGCGTTGAGAACAGAACCTGAAGTCACTAAAATTTTCCCATTAAAATTATGGGAACCATATTGAGATTGCACATATTCGAAAGTTCTGTATGGTGCAAAAAGTAAGTTAACTCGTACTATGAGCAACTGCGTCAACCATTACCCAACAGTCATTAACTTATTTCCGTGTCAGTATAATAGTATGAGAGATATGGGTTTATTCCAAGCCCTCCTGTTTTCACCTTTTTTAGGATTCTTCTACACAGTGAACAAGAACTCAAGCCGCCTTCATTCATCGCATGTAACTCATCCAATTACAATGATATTATTTACTTAATGTAAACCCGTCTACCACAGAACTCGGAAGACTACACCTCTCATTTGGCATGGATAGCATACAGTACTTAATAAACCAGATCGTCAAAAAGATTTTTTGCCCTTGAACATAACTGCAGCTGTGTACTCACTTATCACAACAGCCTCTCCACTCCAAACAAGTATACAAACACAAACAAGCAAACTGCACACAAACAGCAGACAAGTCGGACACAAAATAGTTGTCAAACACACGTACACAGCAAACACCGTAAACCTGTTACCTCTTAACCACACAATACTCGCAAATCCTCACATCCATCACTCGTTTTCACCAAAACACACATAAAAGCAGGTTGACACCAATCACAACAGCCGAAAAACATACCTCGACTAGATCCTGAGCATCCTTTGCCTGCTGCAGCCTCTCCCGTATTCTCGCAATCCTCAACCTCTCACCAGCCAGCTCCTCCTGCAAAGCCGCTTTCTGCTTCTCCCAAGACTGGAACTTCACCAGCGTCTTCTTCTCCCTCCTCGACACCTCCCGACAGCTGGCAGCCGATTCTGCCTCCCTCCGCCTGGCCACCTCCATCTCCTGCCTCAAGGCCAAATTCTCCACTTCCAGCCTCCGAACGGCCGCATTTGCCCGTTCCACCTGTCCACTCGCCTTACACAGAGCATTCTCCATCTCCAGCAGCTTCTTCATCGTGCTCTCCTCAAGAGTCTGCTTCTCCTTCTTCAGCTGCTCAACCTCCTCCTTCTCCTGCCTCAGGGCCTTCAGCTCGGCCTTGTCCTTTCCAAGCCTCCGCGCAGCCTGCATAACCTTTTGGTTTGCCCACTCAGTCCACTCCTGCAGCTGGTTTTGCAGCTCCCTCGCCCGCGGGACAAGCTTCATGATCATCTCGTCTTTCTTGTCCTGTGGGGCCCACCGCAGGGGCCTGCCGCTGGCAGTGGGCTCCACACTGTAGCTGATGGGCATCGGGTTTGCAATTCCTTTGGCTGGAAAGGAGAGAGAGAGCTCGGTATCGGCTACAGGCAAGGAGGGAATCTGAGCAGCAGCTTTATCAAGGCTGAACGTAGGGGAGTTTTTTGCATTTATGTTAGAGGGGTCAGCCACGCCCTTGAGTTTCTTATCGAGGACAAGGCTGCTAAAGGCGCTGAGCTTGCTGGCCCTGGATGTGCCTTTGGAGGAGCCGTAAGTACGGTAGTGTTTTTCGAAGTGCATTGACTTCTGACGCAGTATGTATTCCCTTTTTGAGATTACAGACAGTTTCTTGCCGCCAACGAATTTGTCTTCTATTTCGGATATTCCCACAGTGTTGAAGGGCGGCTTCTCGCTGGTATCAGGATTGGGATTCTGACAATCCTTATCCAATACAAGCCCATTTGCAACTGGATGAGCTTTATGTTTCACGTTAGAAGCACTACTCACTTTCTTTGCCTGGGGCTGTGAACTATGACCACCTTGAATCGATTCCGGTGGACAGTTCAGTTTACAAGGAAGGATGTTATTGTGTTCAGGATTTTTTGTCTCCATTCTTGATTGGGATTGAGCTGGAAGTAAGGAACTCGTCGAATTTGAAGGCACGTCGCCCAGAAAACTGCAGAAAGGGTCGCTATCCATAGCACAAGCATGAGACACGTTCATGTCGCAAATCAACAAGCACCACATGGCGTCCCCCGTGCTAAAGAAAGGCCTGACCTCTCTCAAGAGGCAAACCAGCTCGGCCAATATATATTTCTTCATCTGCTGCAAGTCCTCGAAACAGTTTTCTTTGGAGGGATCGATCTCCTGGCCACTCCTGAGAAAGGCTAGGGTGTTGTCCACCACGTTTGATACGGTGTCCTTGCACCCATACCAAAGGCCCGACCTCAGGATAGCCTTGGTGGCAACATCCTCACTGTAACCGCTGGCGACTATCTTTTTTATCGCGCTTTTGAAAATCGTGTCTAGATTGCACAACACAAGCTCCTCGAGCTCGGTTTCGGTGAGGTCACTCCAGTCAGCATCGTGAAAGTCGTCTCCCAATGTGTCGATTTCGTCCCTGTGATGGGTGGGATTGGATGGGCCCACGGCACAAGACAGCCCGAGGTCGAGCTTTAGGGAATCTGGTGTGTCTTGGCTCAGACAGCACAAGTCACATGCGTTTGAGTGCCCGTGAGTGTCGAATTTTACAGCCGAGAACTCGAAGCTGGTGCAGTCGCTCGATGGTAAAGGGATGGGTTTAGTGGGGTCGGCAAGAGGTGGATCGGCCCTGAATTTTCGTTTATTCCTACTGCCTTTTTCTTGGACTGTCATGACCGGCATTTGGCTGGATGTGTTGCTACAAGCCTTGGCAACCATTGATGCCATATTTTAGTCTGCACCAAACAAATTGGTTGTTTCAGGGACCTATGAATTGTGATTAGCTGTGATGTTCTGGCATTTTGATTTTGATATGAAAAGTATTGATAGGAGCTGAACATCCAGCTCCCAAATAAACAATTGACATAAAAAGGATGATACAAAAACAATTATGGTTAAAATCAGTAGAGTAACTCGATCAATCATGTAAACTGAAATTCAATCCAAAATTGATGCACAAAAGGTAAAGGAACGCAATTAATCAGGGCAATAGAAACACTTCAAGAACACACCACTGTTCACTCACTGATATCAAGCGACCAAAAAAAAAAACAAAATTATCTGCAACAGAAAAGAACACAAAGAGATTATAAAAGTTGGGAAAAGCCCAGAAACAATTATCGGGTAGTCAATGCAAATTAACAACTCCCCTGTTCAATCTAAACGACAGATCAAGAGGATCAGGATTCTCGAAAAGCCAACTAAACACAATCACAAAATAGATTCATCTAATAAACGAGGTGAAGATCCCAGGAAAAAGAAAAACATTGAGATTTATAATCAATTTTTGATAGTTTATATGATCGATTCATACCGGGTTTCGATTTTACGATTTTCTATGGGACGATCAACGTAGGACAAATCTAAGAGCATGAGATGAAAGTAGAGAGATTCATGGATAGTTGTATTTTTCTTTTTCTTTTTCTTTTTTTTTTCCTTTCCCTTTCCTTATTGCTTTTTTGCCTATTTAAAAAGTTCTATAAGCCTTTTTGTTCTCTCTCTTCTCTCCCCTCTTATTTTGGAGAGAGAAAAATAATAAAATGAATTTGCTCTTTGGGTATTGTATTTTCGTAATTTATGTCTTGACCCTTCGCCTGGTTTAGGTGCTAACTATTGCACTCACACGTGAGTTAAGTCGCGTGTTAGGCAACCATAGTTAGTGTGGCAATTCTTCTCTCTTCGATTTTGGAGAATTATGACAATTTTATTGTTTATTCCAAGTTCCATTTTCACATGTTTATTTTTTACCCTTTGGTCATATGGTGACTAAGTCGACTGGCCATTCTAGAAACGTGTCCAAATGTTGGATCTCCAAAAAACCATACATGAAATTTATTGGCATAATATTTTCTTTTTAAGAACAAATAAATATTTACAGTAGTTATAATGATTTTTTAAATTAATAAAAACTAGTACAACACCCATGTATTACATGGGTGGCAACGGTGCTTCGTTCATGGACGGATTCATAAAAGTGGAATGGGTATCCGGACAAGTCAAATCCAAGACCGTCCCGGCCGGCGCCCACCCTTATCATAAATAATCAACATATTATAGATAATTCGAACCTAAATATATTTGGATTAGAAGTAAACTAAATCTACCCAAGCCTAATAACGAAGCGTGTATTTTTGCCACATAGAATCCCGAAGCATGCGAGCCTGCTACATAGGCTCAGCACGTTCTCAATTAATATATAGGGAGGGATGTCAATATAAATGTTTACAAATCTTAATGCTATTTGATAATACCATTTTTCCTCAAAATTTCAATCATAAAAGCTATTGTGAAACTATAGTTTAACTGTTACAATCAGAGTGTTTCAATCATACAGGAATTCGAGTATTTCTGTTTTTTTTTTTTCGATAGAAATTTTATAGAAGAAAAAATAAATACATAGATCTAGAAAACAGTTTAAAAGTCGAAAGGACAACTCAAAGGTCAAATCTAGGGAAAACGGTGAATATACTTCACACAAGATTCTCAAAACTTGTAACTTGTTTATACAAAAGGCATAACTTGGCATAACTTTACTAGCTGATCAGTAGACGCGATGTCTTTGAACTGTTATGCTTTTTGTGTAAACGGTGAATATACTTCAAACAAGATTCTCCCTAACATATTCTAGTTCTCATTATTATGTCCATTAATGACTCTGGACATAATCTGGTTCTATAAGAGAGTCTAAGAATTTAGCTTCACACAATTCTCTTCGAAGCAGCTGCCCCACTTCTCTCTCACATAGGTGATTCTTACTTACAAGTAGTCCGTACTATATTTTAATCATTAAAAACACCAAATACTTATTCTACTCACCGCTAGGCACGAGTATAAGGAATAGACAATGAATAATATCCTGCAGCGATCACAAGAGTCTTTTTAAATTGTTCTTTTGAATCAAGATCTTGAAATCTCCAGTCTAACAAAGTAGAATTTCCATTTTATCAACTCGTTTATAGAGATTTAAGTCTCGTTCCTCTCAAAGATTTATAGCGAGCAACCAGTAGTTAGTGTGAAAAGTGTTGAATTGGGGGTTCTCCATAGCATCTACTACGCCCTAATTTCTCAATTATTGAAAGGAAACTCTCCCTCGTCTGATCCAGCATCTTGCTTTTCGCGTATCCAATCGTCTGCATCACTCCTCAATTTGACCTCATCTGGTATCTCATCTGCCTTTTTTCGCTCTTCTTCTAGATTGTTCAATTTTGTTTTGTCTCTAGGCTTTCTGAAAATTTGATTTTTTATGGTGGCAATTGAATACCGGGTATGGTTTGGGCTAAAATGGTTATTGGATTAGGTACGGGCTCGCAGTCATCATCCCTTTTGTATCCCTACTGCCTACACCAAGGGTTCATTGGCATCAATCATTTCATATGCAATTACTGCTCACTTATCAAGTGCTCTTTTTGTTCACGCATCTCTGTGTACTTGCAGCGCCAGTCAATAAGATGGCTCAGCCGCCTGAACCCAGCCCAAGCAGCCAATCGGCAGCGGCACTACATCAGAATGACGCTGACGAAGATGATGAGAACATCAAGCAGCTTCGAGAATGCTCTTCTTCCTACATAGCCTTACAGGTACATACATCCACATAATCACACAATCAAATTCGGTGTTTAAACCTAAACCCATTCTTAGAGTTGAACTCTGCGTTGCAGGATTGCTTGATCAGTTCAAACAGAAACTGGAAATCATGTCAGAAAGGTAATTTATTACTATTTTCTTTTCGTTTGTGTTTTCTACTCCTGAAGTTTTCACATTTACCTAATATCTCTTGTGCCTCGTCTGTTTGTTTTTTCCATCTGTCTGTTGCTTACATTTTGATTTTCCTTCGGTACGGTGTTAGTTTGCCAATGGAGATCTTTTATTTTGAAACTTTTTAAAGTGATGACCAATATAATAAAGAGTGAATTTTGTAATTTGCGAGAAACTAGATGAGAATGTAAAGATGAAAATTGCTTCGAGATTAAAATGATAAAGTAACAATTAGCATGATAAATGAAGTTTTGCAGTCTGACATATTGATTATTAAGTATTTTGAACTTGTAGAATGACTAGAAGTAATGAACATAAAAGATATTAAGTTAACCTTTTTCTTTTTGAAAAAAATCACAATTGAGATAAAATAAATAATAAAATAGAATTTTTTTCAGCCAATGAGGCAATCATGTTCGGAACATTGTGTTGTGCTAAATAGATTTGTTTCTCTATTTGGATCAGAAGTTCAAGCTTTGAAGGCATGCAGCGAGAGAAGAACGAAATGACGGGATGAACTGAGATGATCATGATGGAATTAACTAGGTGTTGTCCATGTAAATTTCTTGAAATAATCTTTTGGCTTTGTTACTAGCAAATAATGATTTTTGTTAGATTTCAAAATAAAGATGAGAAGTGTGTTGGTGAAATTTAATTCTGATATAAATGAGTTTCTATTGCTGAATTATATATGTAACCAAATTCACCCTTGATCTATTCTTGTGCATTATTGCTTGGTTGAACTACAATTTGCGAGTATATATACTAAGAATGCAGTTTTCTAATGAAGAGTTCGTTATACCACTAAGTCTTAGAGTATATATATTCTTAGTATATATACTAAGAATGCAGTTTTCTCTTGGATTTTGAAACAAAAATGAAAAGTACGTAGGTAAAAGTGAATTCTTATAAGGATGAACTTGTATTGATTTTGGTAATTTCTGTTCTTTGTGTGTTGTGTTATGTCAGGTATAATAGTATTCTCCTTTTCCATGTGTTTCAATGACCTTTTAATTTTGTGGTTTTCATATTTCGTACTATGATATAAACTGGAGTTAGGTTGAAAACTGAAAGTCTGTGTTTGTGTGTGGACAGATTTGTTGTTTCTTAATTTCGTCTTTTTAATGAGATTTTGTTGTTGATGATATAGAATTTAGTTTATCCTTCATCTAGGATCGTTGTGTTACACAAATTTAGTAACTAATTACGTATAAACAATTTAATCATATAGATACAGGCTTGCAAAGTTCAAAGTTCAGTGAAATATCGAATTGAGTGCACTAGGAAGTTGAAGTCTAGGGATTTGGTTACTTGTATATATATATACCGTCGGTATAAACTTTTATCAATTAAGAATTTGGTAGATTTTTTCTTTTTACTATTACGAGATATCTTTATGTAAATGTAACGCCCCGTATATAACTCTTGGATGACAATAGCAGAATACTATTGTTATTGAAGTGTTTTAGCAACTGGATTTATATAGAACTCTTGAATGACCGATAGCAAAGCAGTACTGTGAGGATATTGCTAAAAGAACACCTCAGAAGTACAAATATAACATGAATAGAAGATACACAAAGGTTATAATTGAGATTATTATTATTAATTAATTGAATTAGCATAGAGTGAAAGCCCTAAGACAAAATGTTGTAATGCTTTGAATACAGCCAGAAACAGAAACAAGAAAATAAATGAGAAAACACAGGTGCAAGCAAACCAGATTAGATCAACCATAAGTAATAACCATCATAGACAACAGTTCAAATCAGGAAACACAACTCAAGTAGTTTCTGTTCCTTGTGATAACTCAAAGCACAAAGAAGCTCAATTTGGAACAAACTTAATGGACACACTATTAACGCAATGCCTCTCATCAGTCGGCACTGAATGCCCCTCACCTTTAAACACATGCCCCAAGTGCCCACCGCAAGCAGTACAACTGATCTCAGTCCTCCTGCCATCAGGATCCGGCTGAAACCCACGCAAAAAAAAAAGAAAAAAAAAAAATGAAGAAGAAGAAGAATCAAAACACAAAAATGATGCTTGTTTAAGTCACACACGTAAATTAATCGTCCAGAATCATGTAGAAAAAATAGTGGAGAAGGACTCTGTTAAGTCAATCCCATTCCCCTTATTATTCCAGTTCTAATTAAATCATTTTCAACTAACTAAAAGGTTAAAAATATAAGAATCGCCTGGGTAATATGTTTAAAAATTGGAGACATACAGATCGGGTAATGGCTCCAGGAAGACTTTCAAAGAAAGCGGGCCAACCGCAGCCAGAGTCGAACTTAGTAGTCGATTTGTAGAGAGGTGTCCCGCAACCAGCACAGTTGTAGACCCCTTCTTCATAGAACTTGTCATAGTGCCCCGTGCCTCTACGCCTGTCCAATTATGAATAACATCATCAGAATTTTGTGCAACAATTCACAAATTAACTCTTCTGCGGGAAGATGAATTATTCTTGATATTTTGTAGTTCGTGTTAGACGCAAACACGCAAGCTTAAATAATTATAATGCAAGAAGAGAAAATCATAAAATTAGGAAAAGATAATATAGCAACATTTTGAATCCTCGAGAAAAAGTAATTAGTCACACAAACTGGATTGGTTCTTCACCAACACAGAAACCACAATATTCATAAGAAAAAAAGGAAACTAAAAGCACAAAAAAGAAATGAATCGAGCACGCACTCTGTGCCTTTCTGGCGGAGTATATGAAACTGCTCGGGAGTAAGGACGGCCCGCCATTCTTCCTCACTCTTCTCAACTGAACCCATTGCCTTCTTTTCTTACACAAATTTTCTTTCGATTAGGGGGTTTCTTTATAATGATAAAAAAGGTACTCGAATCAGAATGTGTTTTGGGTATGATAATTATTGGAACCTCTATCGATATGAATGTGGACGGGTTCACGGGTCACAGGTAGCCACGGGCTATTGGGAAAAAAAACAAATCCAAATGAGGAGAAAGGAGAATTTACTCTATTTAAATCAACGATTTCTATGGATATTAATTAAGTTGAAATAACTAAATTGAGAAAAATTATGCGATACCCTATGCGATAAAATGCGAAAATAATTGATAAGGTGTGAAACAAATTATGCAAAAGACATGTGAATATAATTAATTGACAAACTATAATTGATAAAGTGCGAAATAAATTATGCGATAAACTATGAGACAGACAGTCGAAAATAATTAATAAAGTGCGAAATATTTATGCGAAAGAGAGAACAAGGTAAATGATAAAATGTGAAAAACTAATTATGTGATACGATATGTGACTGACATATCGATAAAGTGCTAAACAATTATGATAAACTATGCGACAGACATGTCAAAATAATCGATAAAGTGCAAACTAATTATGTGATACGATATGTGACTGACAAGTGAAGATAATTGATAAAGTTCGAAACACATTATATGATAAACAAGACGAAAAGTGTGAAGATAATTGATAAAGTGCGAAACAGACTACCCGATAAACTATGCGACAGACAGACATATATAATTGATAAAGTGTGAAACAGATTATGTGATAAACAATGTGATAGACAAGCAAAGATAATTGATAAAGTACGAAATATATTATGTGATAAATGATGCGACTGACAAGCGAAAATAATTGATAAAGTGCGAAACAGATAATGCGATAAACTATGAGAAATGTTTGAGAAGATAATTGATAAAGTGCAAAATATTTATGCGACAGACAAGCGAAGATAATTGATAAAGCGCGAAACGTATTATGGGATAAACAATGCGACAGACAGGAGGAGATAATTGATAAAGTGCAGAACAAATTATGAAATAAACTATGCGACAGGCAGACAAAGATAATTGATAAAGTGTGAAACATATTATGTGATAAACTATGCGATAGACATACGAAGATAATTGTGTCAATTATGATAAAATAGATTGATCCGTTATATAAATATAGTATCCTTTACCTTCTCCCCTTCATCTTCCCTTTTTCCTTTTATTTTATTTTATTTTATATTTTCTTGCAGGAACCTAATTGGTTACGTGCCTCTCTTCCTGCGGCGAGTCCTTTCCCTAAGGCGGGGGCCGAAGCCCAGGTCAACTCCAGTTTTGTTTCTTTCGTGGTTTAGAGTGGTAGAGTTCTTCTCCCTCCGACGTTGATTCAGCCGTCAGAATAAGTTGTTGCCATGGTGGTAGGGGTGGCAACGACTTGCTGTGGCAGGCGTTGTAGCTGCCTTGTGGCAGTCGGTGTCGCGTAGACTGTTGCTCCGCCCATCTGTCATCTTTCGTATTTGGTGCTGGGATATTGGGGCGGCCGGTGGGTACGGCTTTTTGGTGGGATACGCTTGTCGGCCGTGTTGGGGTTGGGTAGGATGTGGGCTTGCTGGTTCAGATCCGACAGGGACCTTCTGGGCGGGATTTGTCCTTCTTTCGGTTCTAGTTAGCCGGTAGGGAAGTTTTTAGAACCTTGTTTTGGGTCGGGACTTGTCCCTTGGGGGGTTGCCATGGGCGTTGGTCTATTTGAGGTTCCATGGTGAGTCTCGGCTGCTGGAGGAGAGGGCTTTTGTTTATTCTATCTATTAATTTTTTTGTGTGTGCTTTGGTGTGTTTCTTTTCTTTCTTTCCCTTTGGGAGTGTGATGATTGTAGTCTCCACTTGTGGAAAATTTGCTTATTCTCATGTTGGGAGTTTGGAGGTGTCTAGGCAACCTTATGGTATGTCCTCACACTTGATTCGGCTCAATAGCTGCTTAAGTCAGCCGTTTGGTTGGATCTAGATGTATATTTATGTTTTATTTATAAAAGTTT